AACAACTACTACTACTACTACCACACTACCACACTACCACACTACCACACTACCCCACTACCACTACCACTACCACTACCACTACCACTACCACTACCACTACCACTACCACTACTCTACCACTACCACTACCACTACTACTACAACTACCACCACCACCACGCGGAGGAGGAGGAAGAACAGCGACAGGACAAAAGGACTCACAAGCTTCAAAGCACAGCCACGAGCATCACGAGGTGGCAAGGGCCTGGCCTGAGCGAAGCCTTGCCGTTTCGGCCGCGAAGCCGAACCGCTGGAGATTCTCGTTACCTGGCACCAAGCTGAACTGCCTCAGATGATTAAGAAGGTCTGTATCTTCGTTACAGTCGTTATGAGCTACGGCTCAACGTAGCAAGACTTCCTGATCGGTTATCGAGCTCCGGCCATGAAGCGGGAGTGATACACACTGCTACACATCTCCTGGCCTGCAGCGCAGTCCAAGGTCTGCGCTTGGCCCGGCGTAAACTTCCAGAGGCTAAACGAGCAGAGGTGAGGAAGGCTGTTTGGGAAGCGACAGTCGGCCTCAACTGCTCGGGCGCTTGCATGCGGCCACCTGGACCAAGCTGAACTGGGAAAGACGCTGGCCCTTGAAGTAGTAGCCGCAGCTTGTAGCTGCCAAGTGCTCGACTCGAGATGGCATGGCAAGAGATCTTGGAAGGGAGCTCCGTGAGCCTCACTCTGCTAAAAGCATTGGCGGACTCCATCAGCATCTTCCGGGTCTCGGGCATTGTCTCGTCCTCTGAGGCCTGACTTTGAAACTCTTCCCAGTTACAGTGCACTCTGGCAAGGGGAAACACTGAGATCGCAGCTTCTTTAAGGGGCTCGACCTGCTCTGGCTCTGCAGCACCTCAGCAGCAAAACCATCTCTTTCCATATTGCAGAATTTACAGTCCACTCGACTGAGCAGGCTCACCCAAGGAGCACGTCTGCGAGGACTTGGCAGCCAATGATTCCGAGCCCCTGTCCAGCTGCAGAGTGTTACGGGGCGAGGGGGCCCGCCCGCGTCCAGCCAAGACTAAAACTCAGACTTGCTTCCTGCAATCGTGACCAGCACTACTGCAAGTGTAGGTCCAGAAGAGCCCAGGTCGACAAGAAGAGGCGACTCGAAGCGAAGATGGAGCATCCTGCCCGCGGGCTCCGGCCTGTCTGCAGAGCACGCGTCTTCCTTCGGCTCCTCAGGCTTCCGCTCCTGCAAGCAAAGGGCGCCGCCAGACGCGAGCCGCGAGCTCTCATTTCCGACATTTAAGTTCGCTCCTTGGCCACTCGACACATAGGCACCGGACCTGGGCAATAGTTAACTGGGAAAGGAGACAGCAAGACAACAGACAACGAAGCGATGGGCCGCGAGCTGAAGAACAAGCGTGAGCACGAAGAGGCTGACCTGTGCAGGAAGAGGGAGTTCGGAGCTGAAGGAGTGGGCTTTCCGACTCTTCGATCCTCGGAGGGGTTGCCGGCTGCTTCTTCTGCGACTCCTTTTGACGACGTCTTTTCGTCAACCGGCTCTCGCTTGGCACGGGGGCCGGCGCCTCTCCGCGGCGCATGGGCACGGGGCCTCGGCATAAAAAGGCAGCTCCGGGCACGAAGAGTACCCACCGTGCCTGAGCTGCACCATGCAGCACCTGAGGGTGTCGGCTGAAGAAAAGCTGACCTTGCTTTGGGGATGGTGTGCTGGCCGCCTGATGCAGGGGGCTTCCGACAAGCAAGCTCAGTAGCTAATTCGTGCAAAACGTCAATAGGACGACCTAGCACAATGCCAAGTGGAGCAGCTTTGAACTCTTCCAAAGGGGATACTCCCAGCAGTCGGCGATCAGCTCTTGCAACCCAGCCCATGGCGGATGCATACCCGACAATTGCTCAAACGCGCTGTCAAGGACAGATGGCCGACGATCCGTCTGCTCGGTCTGCTGTGACATGCGACACACTACCACAAAAGCAACTCAAAGCTCTGAGAGAAAGCAGCAAGGCTCATGTGGCCGATGGCCGACGATCCGTCAGCACATCGCGGCCAGCTATGGCTGCAAACAACTGACTAGGTGATGACTTCTGAGACTGTACAAGACTTTCCAAATTTCAACTTTCGATACCGAGTAGGGTGGAAGGGCGTCTGAACAAGTCAGCTCTGGTGCCCGCATGGTATGTACAGCCCCACTGCTAGTCCTACACTAGAGAAAATGCGCTCGTCCTTTCTGGAAAAGCGCCGGCAAGATCTCACCACTGTCTGATCACCATGAACGAGGGCAGAGCTTGATGGACACCGGGCTAGCAGGCTCGTTGCTGACAAAGTTTGCTGTCTCCATCAATGGCGGCTTGTCCCATTGCTCGAGGACGAACTTTTGCACCACTTTGGCGATGACGAGAAGGCCCTCGTACTCTGCCAGCCGCATTCCAAGACAAATTCTCGGGCCGTAGCCGAAGGCTAGGCTATCGAAGGGTGCATGCTTGACAATGCCATCAGGCCCAAGCCATCGCGAAGGGCGGAAAACCTGAAGATCGTCCCCCAACTTCTTCTTAACTTCAGGATCATTCTTCAGAATATTTCGGATTGCAATGAGGAACTCTGTGCCTGCTGGCAGCTTCCGGCCGGCGAGCGTGATTTCTTCTGTGGATTGCAGCTCCAAGGCATTTGCTGGGCCGTGGCACCGGAGTGTCTCGAGCCACACTGCCTGCACCGTGGGAAGCGTCTCAAGCTCAGTCAAGGAGATCTCGCCGTCTGGCAGCGTTCTAACCTCCTGGGCAACAGCCGTCTGAAGCTGCAGATCCTTGGACAAGTAGTAGAATGACCAGCACAAAGCCAAGCTGGTTGTGTCTGTCCCCGCGAGGAACAGAACCGTCAAATTGTCCATCAGCTCGCTGTGACTGAACTTGTCACCGTCCATGTCCTTCAGCTTGTCGACAATGCACCGGCCACCGCCTTGGGCTGTCTGTAGGATCTGCTCGGAACGATTGTAGAAGCGCTTGGAAACCTGTGCACCGTTGTCAAAGAAGCTGGCCAATCCCGGAACTTTCCAGTAGGGCAACGGAGCAAAAAACCGTGTCTGGAAGGCCTGGAAGAGTGCTTTGACATCCGATACGATGTCCGAGCTCCTCTTCTCCAGCATCCGCATCTCCTGCCCGAGCGCAGTCTTGCAAATCACATCTGCGGTGTACAGCGGCAAAAGCTCCGAGAAGTTGGTCTCTCCTCTTTCGGAGAGATCGCGGCCCATTTCCCTGAGAAGTTGCTGGGTAATGCACTCCACTGCCGGAATGTAGCTCTCCACATTCTTCCTGCTGAATGCAGGTGAAAGAACACGCCTCTCTCGCTTCCAGCGATCTCCCTCTGAGAAGAAGCTGCCGCCAATGATGTCCGCGACATTCTGAATGCGCCAATTCTTTGGCATCTTGAACGGGCGAAGAGAGAGAATGGGATGAGCTTGCTGCCAATTGCAGCACACGACTGTGCGCGACCCAGCCAAATCCATCTCGTAAACGCCCTCCTGCCCATACTTTTCAGCCCACTCCTCTAACTTCTCCGTCAGGAACTTCGCCCCTGGTCCGAGCTCCGGCAGCACTCCAAGCAGCCAGTACCCGGGAACTTCAGGAAAGCGGTCGACTCGGGAACGGAGCAAAAGTCTGACTGCCAGAAGGGACGCGCCAGCACCAGCCAGTGCGATGGTCACGGCCCCTCGCCGGTCCGCAACGTGGTCCGCAACAGACTGGATGGCTTGTGCCAGCGCCATGGCGTCTGAAAAGGAGAGGTGTGTGGAGAAATCTTGCCGCGATCGCAAATGCTTCGGATCGCCCACATCGCTCCATGTGCAGACCCGGGCATTCACGGCTTCTGAAAGATGACAAAGTTCTTCCGCCGCATCGCCCTTTATGTCGCGGCATGCTCTGCTTGGACTGCATGGTGAAACGGCAGGCGCCTCTGTGTGCCGCTGCATGGGCATGGGGCCTCGGCACGCAGAAGTCCGCAACAGCTCCAAGAACCTTGGACTGCAACATACTGCGCCTGAATGCGCCTGATCTCAGGGTTCCGGCTGAAGAACAAATGTGGATCTGTCCTGGAGGATGCCGCCGGCCTCCGTTGCGGATGCAACCTTTACATCCTGCGTATAATTGCCGATAACAATCCGCTCAATGCAAGGCCACTGCGGCAATGAAAAGGATGACTGTGAAATCGTTAAATCTTAGAGATCTGTCGGAACGGCTGTGCCTCGGGGAGAGCGGTGTCTCCGTCGCATCCTGTCGCGGAAGCTTCTCGTCATTCAACCCCAGCGTCAGCAACATGTCGGCCCATGCCATGTGAGTGCCACGTCGACTGTTCAACAATGGTGCATGTCACGATGACTTCGACATGACAGCGCATACCGACATGACGTGCGCAACGCAAGGGCCTCCAGCCCTTCCTCTGGGCCGGCTGGAGAGCCTCGGTCTGTGACATGTGAAGAGCGCGACTCTGACAACCACCAAGGCCCCAGACTTGTCGGATTCAAGGATTGGAGCAGGGGATAGGTGGGTGAAGGCCCTTGAAGAGAGCGATCGTCAGTTGTGAAAAGCGTCCCGATGATCATCAATGCACACCTATGGCATGAAGCTGGTTACCGAATTAACGAAGAAGGGCTTTCGGCCTATTGGCTGTTTGAGACGGCCGCTGAAGAGGCTCGAGAGGGTGGTTTCCACAGCACGTGGCGCCCGCCTCAAAGAGGATTGCAAAGGCTCCGTATCTTGGAATTGTGGCCGAACGTCTGGGCCTGGCGTCCGCTGAATGACCATCTCCCGCCGCCTCCTGAGCTTCTCAAGGCTCCGACAAAGCAGACTCGAACGGAGGGGAGGCGAGGGTCAGCATCTTGCACGGATCCCGTGGTTTCGCTACACACACAGGCTGTGAGGCTGGTGTTATGCTCCTGCGCATGTGGACCTACCGGTGGTCCAAGCATCTCCGCGCCGATCGTCGTTTGCAAGTGCCGAAGTTCTTACCTTCCCCAAGTTCCAAGTACTCTTTCGGTTGTACAGCTCTGAGGAGGCGTCTGTTCACAACAGTTTGGAAAAGAACTAAAGGTCAAAAGGTTCCAAGAACCCGAAAAGCAGTAAATGCCGCACACAGCGAAAAGTCAAAGTGGAAAGTCCCGCCCAAGGGGAAAAGTCAAAAAGTCCCAAAACCTCGAAAAGTCCTGTAGCAGATTTCCGAGGCTGAACAAGTCGTTGTACTCAAATCAAACATGTTGACGGGGCAGAAAGCGCGACAAAACACGGAGGCCCGTTTAAGAAGGCAATGCCCGTAGACCTGTAGTCCCTTAGCAGTCCCCCTGTTGCGAAAGCTTCACACTAGCATCTCAAACGGAAAACACCGTTTTGTAGACCTTCGTGAAACATGGCTAAAACTTGAAAAGCTCCGTCATAAGCCGCATATCCAGCTCTTTCATCAAACAGACAAGTGAAGAACCGAGCTCCGTTTGCTGTCGCGACACAGTTCGCATCTTATGAAGTCCCGGCAAAGGGCGCCCGAGCGCGAAAGTCCAAATTGGAGATGTTGTGGAAAGCCCTCAAAGTCTCAAAACGGTCGAAAAGTATAGGAACGTGCGAAATCAGCTGGGGGTTAGCTTGGACACATTGTGCCGAAGGTGTCCCGCATGTCGCTGGTTGACACCGCTTTGTGCCAGAATGCGTCGTGCAGGCGGTTTTTGGAGATTCTAGCTCGTACACCACAGATCGGATGCTTGCACTACCGAAGCGCATCTACTTGACCGTCTCCTTGGGCAGCCTCGTTGCCAGCACCTCACTGCGCAGGTGGGACTCAACTCATGAGTTGGATGGCTGAAGAGCCTCCACATCCGAGTCATCGGAGATACCCACCGCCTTACAATCGGGAGCATCTCATGTTCTACGCTGCTAGCGAACTGCTGCCTGAGGCCGGCACCTCGCCGCCGCTGGCCTACACTGGCTGGAATCCAAACTGAAGTTTAAGTGTTCTTTTGCCCATGCTTGACAATCTTAATAGTACATATCCCTATAGCCTCCATCTAACTATACTGTACTAATCTGTACTATACGCCCCAACACCCTGCTCTATTACTTCAATAGATCCCCCGGCAGCAAGCAGACACTTTCTCTCCGAGCTCAGATGTGTACATTGGCTGTAGCCCCTCCGGCAAGGAGAAAGCGATAAGCGATGCTCTTAGAGCAATCCAGTGGAGCCGAAGAGAGGCCTGTGAGGGCTCTGGGCGCTTTCTTTTGAAGCCCTGAGCTTTCTGGGCCTATGAGCCAGTTGATGCCCTTGCCCTGAAAGGCCTCCTACCAGGGACATGCGCGCAAAAAGTTGAAGCCGGGGCTGCTTGCTTCGGTGTGGAAGTTTGCCCAGGGGCATTCTGAGAGAAAGCACTAGCAGGCCAAAGCCAAGAACTCTCAAGCAAGCAAGAATGCATGAAATCTCTTCATCGCAGGAGTGCATTTCTGTGCCCACCTATGGTACAGCAGGGGGTTATCCTAGTGTGGGCTGTCCCTGTGCCCCGTGCTGGCAGATCCAAACACACATTGCTCAAGCTGGCGTCTCCACGAATGGTACCATCAGGTACCATCGTAATGCCAAAAATGTTCGAGTCTCGGATGTCTCTGCCACGGGGTACATGGGGACTGACCTCTAACTGCTGAATTCGATCTCAAGCCACAGACCCGGGCGCTCCGAGGTCATGCGGAAGCCTTTTCAGCCTGAGCTGCAGCTGATGCGCTGGGTAGCTGGGATCCACGAGATCTCTTTCCTTTCCGCCTGCTGCTTGCACACTCAACAAAGCATGCACCAAGAAGCAGCATGATCTCACGTCCGGTCGTCGCCCAGGGCAAAAATTCACGCCTTGTTGAGTCAAACCGAACGAAACGCAGCAGCAAACCTGCTCATTGAGCGCAGGTCAGTATTGGGACACGAGGGAGGGGAGTTTCCGTCAGAGCCGAAATCAGGAGTCCCAGATGTTTTTGCCAAGATGCATATCTTGGCTGGTAAGGCCTTGGGTCGCGGCTTTCCAGCATAAGCTGCATTTCAAGGAAGCGCTGGGGAGATCTTGACGGGATGTGCTGCCGGGGCACTGAGGATTGTAGCCTGCCAATGTCATCGAAGCAACATGTTGTTTGGAGCTTTGAACGTGAGCCTGACACTCTGCCCCTGCCCCCATGTAATTCTTCAGGCTCGGGCCTTGATAGCTATTCTGCTGTCGTGGCTGGTAGCTCCTAGGCTGCAGCATCATGCCCGGGGCAAGGGCAAGCGCACAGGTTCGCACAGGACACACAGCCCAAAACTTGCGGACATGCTGCTGCGAAGACGGACCTGCATGCGGCCAACTAGCAACGGGGACAGAATCAGCCCAACTGTTTCACGCCGCACCTCCATAGGAGGCAGAACTCTGGTAGGGAGCCGGGTAGGGCGTCGGCTGGTAGCCGTTGCCCGAACCAGGGGATGGATCGTAGCCCCTGGGCACAAAAAACCAGACTCAACAGGCGTGCGGATGCTCCTTGCATGCCAGGCAGGGTTGAAACACCTACAGTCACTTGGCCAGAAGCACGAACCCTGTCTGGTCAAAGCCCATGCGATGCCTCACCCAAGTACCCAAGTGTTCCGAAAAGCAGAGACCCAGTCTGATCTGCGATGTGCCCACGCGAGCTACTTAAATCAGCCAATCCGGGGCGCGAGTCGAAGTCCTCAACATCCTGTCACAAGCAGCCAATAATCGTAGGACTGTAGGACATTGGGCTGTCGGCTTCGGGCAGCATTTTGTTCGGGTTTGCCTATATGCTCTGCCCCGGATCCTTCAGCGAGACGGACATGTCCGAGTCTTGCACGGAGATCCCTCTGCCAGAAGCGACAAGACCTGGAACAGGCCAAAATCATCATAACGCTGACTGGGTATGTGACTCCGAAACTATATGCCTGCCATCCGGGGACCGGGCGCTTCTCTTCCAATTGCTCTTCATACATTCTGTGGATGAAGATTCCTTCGGAGGAAACACAATCAATGGTAGTCGGGTAGTCTTTGAGGTGGAATCCTCTTCGACTCACACTCCTTGCTCCCAGCCTCCCAGCTAAACATGCAACCGACCCGGACACCGGACACAAGGCATTGCTCAAGAACGCAACAATCTGCACGCGACCTACCATGCGAAAGCCCGGAAACTGCGTGCGCTGATCAGCCTCCGCCGATGCAAGCCTCAATCAGCACAGATGCGGACATCTCAAGCAAAATGCTCGCTCTTGCTTGCTTGCTCAGGGAGCCCCTCTCTGTCTGGTCTCTCTCTCTTCTTCAACACAGACAAAGGGAAAGCTGAAAGCCCCCCCTCGCGCGCGTACGCGCCGTGGCAGCCTCAGTCTCAGGTAAGACTACTACATCAGATGCGGGCCTCCGTACTGGTCTCTCTCTCTCTCTCTCTCTCTCTTGCTTGCTTGTTTTGCTTGAAGAGAAAGAGCACTGCAAAGCCTGGTTCTTCCGTGTCTGGGGGCGACCTCCTGTACAAGCCCATCTCTCGGTCTCTCCGTCTCGGAAAACCCGAGTGTGCGCATACGTATTCCCTCTTCCGGCCCTTTCTTCTCTTAGTCATCACAGCTTCGTGACCTCTCCTGACCCTAGGGTTATACAATGTGATATTATAGACAAACGGAAAAGAAAATAATATTGTATCCGCCGAGGTCTTGGGGATTAACTGAGTACCCTCCACCTAACGAAAGTCCAGTGACAACCGTTTTTGGTCCACAATTTGGACCCCCCGCCCCGGCCCTCCCACACATCTCCCTTGCCATTCCCCTCTCCCTAAACCCCTCCCTGCTCAGTTTTCTGCCCCCCTTCACCGAACCCTTCTCTGTCGGCAATCAGCGAGACAAAGTGGGTTGTGTCACAGTGCTGCTCTGCTACAATGACTCAGGTACTGGTACTGCTTCGAACAAGGAAAAACTTCTTGGCTCGCATGGGTTGCACAAGCCACCACCGAATCCTCCTCCCTGCAGCCCAAAAGTCCAGTGGCACCGCTTTGGGGGTCCAATTTCGACACCCCCCAGCCCCGCCCCCCCCCTTCCTACGCATCTCCCACCCCAAAAATCCCATGCTGTCGCCACAGTCATACCGAGGTGGGCGGCGTAGCGTTAGACATATATAGCATAACGTGATATAGCTTAATGTAACATGCTGCAGTATAATAGAGCATGATGCGATATAAGATCAGATTGTATAAGATATCGTGTGATATGACCTAACATAATACAGTACAACATCATATAATGCAAGACAATAGAATATTTTATAAGATGATACAGTACAAGATATTATCATACACTGTAATATGACATGGCCCGATGCAATATGATACAATATGATATCAAATAATATTCTGATATGATATGACCCAATATTTAGTATAACACGATACATTGTTATATGACATGAAATGATATAGTATAACATAGTCTACTATAGTATCGTATGGTAAAGCATATGATTTGATGTTATATTGTAATGTATTGCAATGGCTTTTTGCAGTTTAATATGATACATTACATTAGATTAGATTTACGTTATGTTACATTGTAAAATGTTGAATTAAAGTTAGTTTATGCTATGTTAGTTTACAAAAAATAATGCTGCTTTATGTTGTCTTAAAGTATGGTATAGTATAGTATATCATAGAATTGTATAGCATGGTATAGCAAGGCAGAGTATGATAAACAAATATTTTATTCCTTTGCGCTTTATTGAACCATGATGCAATAATGTTCCGTTATATCATATCTCATTACCTTGTGTTATATAATATTATGCTATGCTATGTTATTGTATACTGTGTACTATATATCAGAATAAATAATTACATGCACACACAAATTATATATATATATGTATATATATTGTACTGCAAAAATGTTATTTATCATGTATTTGTTAGATATTATATATGTGAATATACACTATATATTATATGTTATACTATTACACATTTACACATTATACTTTAGATATTGTGCAATGCTCTATGGTATATGTGAAAGAGCATTCTGTTCTATATTTAAAAATAGCAGACTATATATATGCTTTAGTGTCCATTATCTATTTTCTATTGCCCGCTAAATGTAATATGTTGTATAATACATGTAACAATATGTGTGTATATATATGTATATATTGTAAATCATATAGTAGTTATATTAAAAATTGTATATGTATTATATATATATATGTATATATTAGATTATGCTATATCATATTATACAGTATACTTTCTACATTGTATAACATTGTGTAATATGTTCTTCGTTTTTTGCTCCACAGATTCTGTCTGAAGCTCTCGTTGTCTTGAGCCGAGTCGCGATGATCGCCAGCACGGTAATCAAAGGCCACCACTGCGAGAAGAAGCTGGGCTGAGGCCGCGGGCCCTTCAGTGGGTGCTCCTTCAAGCAAGGTGGCAAAAGTTGTGCTTCCGTCTCAAAGCTGCAGAGTTGGACAGGAGTCCTCAATACTTCACCCCTTCGTGCAGGATGGAATCCGAGGGTCATCAGAGTAGCTTGTGTCCATGCGCACGTTTAACCTTTCCAGACTGGGTTCACGGTCCTTGGTTCCCACCAGCGGCTCGCTAACGAGCAGAGGACCTTTGCCAGCTGCCGTAGTTGAGGGCGTGTCTCACTCTGGCTCTGTTTGCAGAGGCTACCTGACATGGACGACGGCGGCAGCGCGGCGCCACTGGTCGCTGCTTTCAGATTGGACGGCAGCGCAGGGACCTGGGCAAATTGGAGAAGGATTTCACATGCACCTCAAACAATCTTAAACACTGACACCTCGCATTCCGCATATCGCTTCGCTAAGTGGCCTTCAGCTTGGCCAAAAGCTTTGCAGGGTCCGGGCCTTATCGGAAGGAATACATTGCAACGAATAGAAGACGGCTGGCTGCACTTCAATGCATCCAAGAGTCTTCCGACAGGGTCGTTCAGGGTGAAGGCCTGACCACATCATATCGAGAGGCTGACGCGAAAGGCCACGAGGACTTGTAGCTGCCCAGAAACTCCAAACCCAACCAAAAACTAAAGACCGGCAGGCAGCCGTGATGGTTTCTCGTTCGATGCGAGAGCTCAACATGAAATCGTTGCGTAACCGAGAGTCTGTGAGCATGGACCCGCCAGCCGTTGGTGTGAGCTTCACCTGGCGCACAAGAATTGAGGCTCGTTTGCAGCAAAGCAACCGCATGCAAGCACAGCATGATGCATTACGACAGGACGGAATAGCACAAGCAAACTTGAATCTCTTCATCTTCGGCTTGCTCAATCCCGAGACAGTGACATAGATCAGGGCGAGATGCTGTGTGCATCATACAGGTTTCGCAGCTGTAGCAAAAAAAGGCCGGCGCTTTTTATGAACCCTCCCTCTGGCCTGGGCCTTCAGATCGTTGGCACCTGGTCCTGCTGGTTGAGGTACACACACACATATATATATATGTATCATTATATATCTGCAATTTCAGGGTCTTGATGGGTGTTGGGATTTAGGGTTTGGGGTTTAAGGTTGAGGGTTTTAGGGTGAGACGGGATCATACGGGGGCTTGCTCCCAGCAGTGGGAGATTTACCACCCAGGTATGGAACAAGCCCTGCGTGACAAACATCACAGATCACAGAAGTGCGGAATGAGAAACCACGCTGGTAGTGAGCTTCAGGAAGGCAGCCAGCAACATGGACGTTCTGCAGGCCGTGGGTGCATGGTGGGATTGAACCAGCAAACGCGGCCTTCTTGTACCTGATCCACTGGAACACCCAAGGTCTGTGAGAGTGCCTGCGCATACCTGGACAGTGTTCAAGCATCACCGTGCTCACCGCCGATGCCAGCAGTCATGTCGGAAATGATGTGGTGAAACTGCTGATAATCAGCAGCACCAAAAGCTACGGAATTCACCATGCTAGGCAGATAAAGAGAAAGGGAGAGACTAGAGCGACAACAATGACAAAGCATCAACAGGCCACAAGTTCCGGGAACGAGAAACTTTCGGCACTCGCGAATCCGCCCCGAGCTATGATGAAGGCTTCGAGCTGAGAAAAACGTTCTACAACTAGCCATGTTCACATGAAGATTTCCGGGACAACACCATGATGTCAAGGACCGGTAGACAACTCAACCAACCAGTGGGTAAATGGGAACTCTTCCCAGCACGGCAGAACCTGACAGATCCTGACAGTTCAAGCCAAAGATCCGTGCTTGCAGGAGGTGGACTTCCTCGGTCCAGACAAGACATGCTGTGCATGTAGCTGTGGTGAGTTAAGAGGCATCGGCCTTGAAACAACAGTTGCAGATTCAACCGTCTGTTGTTGAACAGAAAGTCTGGATACATCTAACAGCCAGGTGGCCGGTTCTGACAGGGACGAGACGTCCAAGTTGTGAAGCACGATCCTGAGTCGCACAGCCGACCTGAAGCCCCGCCTCGCAGACCTTCGTCAGGAACCCGTCAACTTCGTTTTACCGAGAGTCGCAATCTCAGCCATGTGCGCCGTGTCTGGAAGCTCCACCGGCTTGGTGTCGTCATGTGCTACTTTGGGCTTCACTCCTGCAGAGATCGCTGCCGGCAGCAGCGCCGCAACATCGCCCCAAAACTGCCGGACCTGTCCTGTCTTGCCCGGTTGCACCACCACCGGTGACAACGTTGGTGCGGTCGTCGCCCAGGCTTCCAGGTTTGTTGTGGTGGAATAGGCTTTGGAGCAATCCGTGGGACCTGCTGAAGCCAACAGGCATGTCGTCTCAAAGTGTGTAAAGCTCAGCTTGTAGCATTTGGGCGATGTACGGATCTGTTTGGGGAAAAGAGAAGCAAAGTGCGAGCGGGGTCCTGAAATGACTTCGTAGTTCTCTGCTGGCACCCTATGAGCATCACCACCAGAAATGTGACAGCCGCCATCAGGCCAGTACGCGAAGAAGTTGCCTCGGAGAGAGCTTCACCCCTGAAGCTGCAGCACGGAAGGGCTTCTGTGTGGTCGGTCTGTCGGTCTACTGGTTCTCCTCCGAGAAGCAATAGACCGTCAGTTTGCACCTCTGGCGACACGCCTCGTAGTTGGCCTCTGCAGTCCTGTGCACCAGGGATCGTTTTTGGCACGGGTCACACAAGACTTTTTTGAGCGCTGTCCCTGGGCAAACGGGAGTGCCTGAAGCTGAGGAACATGTCGGGTGGCTCGTATCGGAAGCCACGTTCCGCACAGTTCGACAGGGTCACCGGAGCTGCCGGCTCCTTGCGGCTCACGGAGCCTTCCTTAGCGGCTAGCGCCGCTGAGACAAGGCTTCTTGCAGCTGCTTGCAACGCTGCGAAGCCGAGCAGCTGGGCAAAAGTGCTGGATATACTCACCGGCCACACAGTCTTGGGCAAACATTGTGTCCCGGCGGGCGGCATCCAGTGTTAGTGGGAAAGGTGGCCCATACTCCTGCAACTCGCAGCGAACAAGATGTTCAGAGCCCGTGTTCACGGCAGCTACCGATAAAGCACGTCTGCCTGCGACGCATCCTCAATCCAGCAGCCATAATTCGGAGCATAAGTCCAGTATTGACATCTGAAGTCCGAGTAGCACATGTGCTTGCAAAAGGATATCGCATCCTGCACATTCCTCAGTCGATCTAGTTCCAAAACCTGACCTCGCGCTGTCATTGAAATACGGCCTCTGCCACCAGGTTTCTGAAAGAATCCTTCGTCATTGTCGAAGCCTTTCCACAAACCTTACAACACGAGACCACAGAATGCAGCCGCTCAAGATTTGGCAGACGGCAACGTGGTCCCAGCCGAGCTTTATTCCTGCAAAGCTGCCAACTATCTGATACCCCGTCAGGTCCTTCAGCACTCGTACAGATCCATGCTGAAGCCGTTGAGCTTCCTTCGGCATGAAGTTGCCACGGACGAAGCAGTCCTGGCAAGAGACGCCTTCGGAGGTTTTGTTGCATCGACTTGTTGAACTCTTGAACTGCCCAGCACTTGCGCGTCCTTGCCAAGCCCCTGCCAACAGCTGTTGTAAACCGTCTTCTGCCACGATTGGCACTCAGGATGCTGGCGGCAGTTCTCGCCTCAGGCTCTACCAATTCGATCAGGTGGGTAGTAGCCCGACGGCAAGTAAGTGGAAAGCCGCACTTGGATCCGTTGATCTCTTTCATCTCCTCAAGCCACAACATTTCACAACCATAGACAATGACGTTTCTTAAACGGCTCGTGTCCCACTTTGAGGCCAAGCATCTACAAGGCCGACACATTTCCCCGGCCACCCGTTCTTCGTGTCGTCGAGCACGTCGACCTGCAGCAAGCCAGCAGATCCAAACTACGAAATAAAAGCATTGCCAAAGCCAGCCCAAGGCCTGAGTGCAAGGAAGGGGCGCCCCGTCCCAACTCTTTGGCCAGCACTCCAGGCCATAGGGCTGCTTGCCACCTCAGCGCCAGCAGAAAAAAAAAGGGTCCCCTCTATCGGAGCCTCACAACCCCCCCTCAAGGGGCGTTTGCTGAAATCCTAAATGACCCCAGGCAGTCAGTGTCATGTACTTGCAGCAATGGCATAACACTTGCATGTATGCGCAGTAAACGTTTCCGTCCCACGTGGTTTCAGCACACCTAGCTCTCTCTCTGCGTGTAGCAAAACCAACTGCGTTGTCCGCGTGCAAAGGGAAAGCCTTTTGATCCTCAGGGATCATACCTGCACCCATATCCTTCCACCGAAAGGCGGATATTCGGGGGCAGTTTTCTGGTAGCGGAGCCTGTGTTGGGCTCGCCCCCTCGCCTAATACCGCCACAGCGGCTGGCTGCGGCCAACCGCTTACCCAGGCGTGTGCCGAGGTTGCGCGATGTCGTCACAGTCTAGTGATGACAGCAACAGTAGCTCCTCCGGACGATACTCAGAGGACGAGACGTCTCAAGGTCCAGCGTCTTATGCCGCAAGCCAGGCATATGGAATGAGCGACAAGATGCTCAGCCATCTCGGTATAACACCGAAAATAGCACCAGCTTATGATGGCACCACTTCGTGGTTTGAGTATGAACAACTCATTGATGACTGGTGCGACATTACAAGGCTGGACGAATCGAAAAGGGGCGTCTCTCAAAACGAGGCTCTCCGGTCTTGCAAACCTGCGAAAAAACACTAGACCGAACAACGCTTACCGCCGCCGATGGAGTGGAATACTTCAACAGGAAGCTGCGACCCTACTTCGTGAAGGATGAACAGTATATTTTTGTGTGGAGATTCCTGGGTGTCTTCAAGGCATGGAAAGGCAACCAAGACTTCGTCACTCGGATTGCCCAGTTCGATATCGTCCTGCAAGGGTTGCGAAACTCCTGGATGGACTTTCTACCCGAGGTAGCTCTGGCAGATGGCCCACCAGAATTCGCTAATGCCCTCAGGCAGGATGCGACTTTCATGCGCTTACAGGACGCCACGGAACAGGTGACATACGCTGAAAGGCAATTCCCGGAATGGAACTGTGCACGTGAAGATGCCCACAGACGTTTCTGCCCATTGGATGACAATCTCCTGTCTCTCTTGTTCCTCGTACAGTCCCAGTTGAATGACAACCAAAGAGAAAGATTAGTCTCTACATTGACTAATCGTCAACGTTACCGGATAGAAACATACTCGTATACTGTCGTTCGCCAAACTATGTTTGAGCGGTTCGCGACCACGAGGACGGCTCTTCAAGTCCCCAATATCCGGCGCTCTGCTCACAAACAGGACCGTCGTGGAAGGAGAGACATGCTCCGCAAGCGTGGAGGCCGAAAATTGCCCCTGGACCAAGGTGAGTATGACGGAGCAGAAGGCTAATTACTGGCTCCAAGACGAGGACACCCTTGAGGAAGGGTTCCTCGCAAACGAGGACGAGTCAGTCTGCTGGGTCATTGATGAACACGGGGCCCCGCTGCGAGGAGATTTAAACGTGGCAAAAGACCCCGTGCGCATCCCGGTTCCCCGGGAAGAGCAAAAGGCGGCAAGCAAAGATCACGAGGCCGTTTCAGGCGCTATCGTTCCAAAGGGAGAGCCAACCAGGCAGACGGTCAAGAGCATCCATCCGATCCCGGTTACTACGGCAAAGGATAAGGAAAAGGAAAGGATACAGGTGGCAAGGGCAAAGGAAAAGGAAAGGACAAGGGTGACAAAGGAAAGTCCTTTATGAAGGAGCGAAGAAAGGAAAACCGCATCCTCCACAAGGGCTCAAGCGAACGCTTCCCCCGGAGCCTATGAAGCCACCGCCACAAAGACAGCTACTATGCTGATCAAGGATGAAGCTATAACGAGCAACAGTCTTATTCATACGCAGCGTTTGCCTCAAGCCGAAGGAGAAGAACAAAAGTATCATCGGGAACAGGCACAGATCCGAATCCGCAGACAAGCCCGTGTCTAACCCCTACGAGAGTTACCCTTCCCTGATAGCTGGTACAACAGGTCAGGAAGAACACCGTGGAACTTAAACTGCCACAACAGTGTTCCCAATGCCGCACAAATGTGCTGTGGGGTCTTACTGAACGCATCAATCATCTTGCCCGAAATCCTACATACGTCATTCTGGACTCAGGATGCACTCGTGCCATGGGTTCCCGCTATGCAGTCAATAGACTAATCAAGGCGGTGGGGCGCTATGCGCCCGTACTTTTTCACCTTCAAACACCAAGTTTTCTTTTGCTGACAGCGACACTGCTCTGATCAAGGAGAACGTCACTTTACGGTTCAAAACCACGCCACCACGCGACACCACGATTCAAGTTCTTGACCAAGGTCGCGTGCCCACTCTGTTCTCCATTGAACAGATGCGGAACCCGCGCATGACTCTGGAATGTAGCCCAACGGCAGACCTAGCTTCCTGTGGATCCTTTGGATTGTACAAAACGCTTCTCCCTGTAAGCACAATAAGCATCTTGTGCTAGACCTGCTCAGCTTTTGTCCACCTGGAAGAAGAATCGCCAGAGTAATCTTTCTTCTGCAGCCACAGCTTCTGCACATGCAGCCGGAGATAAAAGGAAGGCTGACCCAACGGCTGATGCTCCTGGTTGTCCTGCCTGCTCAGGAAGACACAGGACGCACACTTATAAACCTGGCTGCAAGAAATATGAAGGACCAGAGCCTTCCATGGAAGGGTCCTCCGAACCATCCACCGGTAGCTCAACAGAAGGTGATGCACCATCTCGAAGATTGACGAAGAAGGCGAAGCCTTCTTTCAAGCCCAAGGTTCCTGTAACAGCAAATGAACCGGTTCCTGGAGCTGACAAGGGCGCTGGTGTCAAACCACTTGGGTCAAGTGAACACCCGGCTCCAGAACCATCGTCTTCTTCGAGAGAAGGGCCAGCGGTGAGATTTGAGGAGGAACCTGCCGCAGCAGAAGCTCCTTCGCTTCCCTTCACACTCAGAAGAATCCATGAGAAGCTCAAGGATCCCGCTGAAATTTACAAGCTTCACCTGAAGCATCACCACATGAATGTTGAGCAGTTCAAGCGGAGGACTGCAGCCGTGCAGATACCAAAGGAAATCTACGATCTTTATGGCCGACTGGTGAAGAAATGTGCTATCTGTCACGAGCACAAGAAAGCTCCTTCTAGAGCCAAGATCCAGGACTTCGTTCTGAAGTTTTTGGCGATCTCACCTGCGCTGATCATGGAGACTTGGCAATTCCTGGCAAGGTAGCTAGGTTAATGTTTCTCATGTTGTATGATGGAGCAACTAATCTTGTAACTGCCGAAGTTGTCCAGGACGAGGAGGGGCCCACGACAATGTCACTCATGACAGAATACTTTGAGAAGTATCAAGGTACTCCAAAGGTCGTCATGGCAGATCAGGCGTTTATGACTGCAAAAAAAGAGGTCTACTACAACAGGCAAAACATTAAAGCTGTCGCTACAGGACCTGGTACTCCTTGGCCGAACAGAGCAGAAGCTGCTGTGAGGTTACTGAAACATCAGCTTAAGTTCTGCTTAACATCCACGAAGGTTACGAACTCTTCAATGCAATTGTCGTGAAATACGGCAACATTGCTCGCCAAGCTTGCTTAGCAACAAACTTTTCCGTTACATATGCGGAGTGACGCTGCTTGAGCTTGCATTCGGCCGGAGACCACGTGACGTTCTCACACCTGAAAACTCTGAATCAAACCAACTTGCCGGTAACCCGACAGACGCAGAAGTTACTGCCAGAGCTGACCGTGAACTTGCCAACAAATCTTATCAAGAAGCCCGGCAATCAGATAATGTCAGAAGAAATTTGGCAGCTCAACTCTCACAATGCCGGTATGTCGTGGTCTGTTGACCCTTCTAAGATCGGTTCCACAGGCTGCCGACAAGGAGCGTGTGTAAAAGGAAAGGTTGTTGGTGGTTCCATGGTAGGCGTAGATTTAGGAACATTCACTGTCCGTGTTTATGGTCGAAACTACGCAGGACCTTACAACAGATGTTAGATTCCTTTATCTGCTCCAGAGGAAGGCTATGACATGTGCAGGATCGGACCACGCAGGCTGTATGGTGACATTCGATGCAGCATGATATCCAATGAATCCAATGGACTCAGTGCGCCTCACCAAGACTGTCACTGGCAAGTGACATCTGCAGGTAAGATTAATTCTCTGGAACTTTACAGTGGTTCCTCGAGGCTAAGCCACTGTAGAACTTCGTAGCGGTCTTGACCTTCAATGACCGCGGGGTCGTGCAAAACTCTCACGGATTAAGAAGCGAGTCTATTATTGTTGTGTCACCGGACCAAGCACACTGGTCTAACTGGAGCTCTTACTGGAGAGGCAAATCACAAGAAGGCCAAGCCGTTCTCAAGTTTTGTGAGTCTATCGCAGATCACCAAATGAGATCAGGCCGCTACTTTGTTCTCAAAAACCATATTGAAGCAAAATCTGGTCTTCCCAGGAAGCCAAATGTATGCTGTCTAAACCAAGGATCTCGTACGAAGTACGCAATCTCCAGTTTTGGCATGAATTATCCAACTGGGTCTTACCATGCCTCACCTGCACAACCTGCCACCGCAGGTCCTACTGCCAATTCAGCGTAATGCCAAAACCACGAAGAAACAAGATCACTCTCCCAAGTGTGACTCAGGTGCTCGCGACTACGGATCAGCGACCAAAATTTCGCAAGTTTATCCGTACGAGTTCTGTGAGATTTTCACGGCGTGTCTTTCAAGGTGTCTTGGAAGAGACCCGTGTGCTTCACATCTTTCACTTGTGATTGACCTGCTTCAGTACTCTGACGATTCACATCTCGTAGGTATTTCAGATCTTGTAGATACGGAGTATTCCTACTTATCAGAGAATCCTCTCAAGGAATCTAAACTGATGCAAGGTAGCAATAATATTCGGTCTGGGTCTTTAGTCACAAGAACCATTTTCTGCCTAACAAGACTGAGCTGCTGGTGCATCATGCCCTCACCTTCTTCCCTTAATGCACTTGTTAAAGATGTGACACATCTCTGGACCCGTCTCTTCCCGGAACTGCCTTCGAGCAGTGTACAATTTATCGTGGTACTCTAGGCCCTAGGCGTACAAAAAGCACTCTCAAGTGCTAAAAACTGAGTCCTTATTTACTGGAACAAAAGGCACTCCGGTGACACTCTTACTGTTTGTCAACCTCACCAGGCCTGGGACAGACTTCACCCAGCAACATTGTCGGGGGTGTCTTTCCAGATGAAAGACCACAAAACCGCCCCACCGGTCGGGTCTGCTGCCAAATGTCAACACTGCACCAGTGTCTCCTTCCGACCCTTCGGAGCCGATGAGCACTGATCGCTCTCCCGTTTCTAGTGATGATGCGACAACGCTTGAACCAGATGAGGATATGCCGGCGGCACCGCCGCCTCGTCCACCTCCTCCTAACTCCTGCTCAGGAGGAGCCTCGCGTGCATGCACCTCTTCAACGTCCGTCTCCTCGGCGCCTGCGGGGGGGGGGGTGATCTCTCTCGTCACGCAGCCTCAGAAACAAAGGCAGTACCGAAGGCCTCCGGGCGCGTGCTACCTTTGGCACACGAGGACGGTGAACGACAGTCGTCTTCGGACGAACTTATTCCGCACGATCCTGTTCAGCCGTCGCAACTTCCTCGCAATTCCGGCTCTCCGGAACCTGACACTGACACTGAATCTGATGACACACGTTATTTACGCTACACACGTTATTACTCTGATGAAGAAGGCGATTTAGTCATCGACGAAAACGACCGTCGGAACCAGAGAACCAGCATAAAGCCAAGGCTAACAGCTCAGAAGCTGGAACCGCAAAGACTAAGCCTGAAGCAAAGCCAAAAGAAGAGCCGAAGGCTAATCCAATTCCACCAGCACCGGAGGAGTTTGATCGCAATGATTGTGCCTTCACCTCGGTATCTTCGACTCGGACGAAGAGGCATACGATGGTCCGGATTCCCATCCCGACGAAACGCATCCGCAACAATATGCGGACAGCTATCGGCATGAAGCATAGATTCCCACAGGAACAATCTTGCCTAAACGTGTTACGCTCCCACAAGAGCAAAAACACATTAATTCATTTTGAACGCGTAGGCAAAACATATTCAGCTGTGCTAACGTATCTAACTCTTACACCCCAACTTCACTTCGCATCACACTTGATGACGATTCGTTATGACACATACCCGTGAGTGGAAATGCCATGCTTACGGTAAAATGTCTCTGTTTGTTTGCTTAAACCCTAAATGCCCCCAGGCAGTCAATGGAATAACACTTGCATGTATGCGCCGTAACCGTTCCCGTCTCAAGTGGTTCCAAGACACTAGCTCTCTCTGTGTGCAGCAAAACCAATTGTGTTGTCCGCGTGCAAAGGCAAGCCTTTAGATCCTCAGGGATTATACCTGCACCCATATACTTCCACCGAAGGGGGGATATTCGGGGGCAAGGGGACCCCGTTGCACAACCCTATACGACTATACGACCTCTTAAAGGGGACCCCTAATATAGCACCCTATAGTACTCCTGGAAGGGGACCCTCTACAGGTAGCACCTTATAGTCCCCCTTTAAGGCTTCCTTCAGGGTCCCCCGGCCTGGCCATGCGCTGTTGGAGGCTTCGGCAGATTGACCGGGGAAACCATTCCCTGGCGTCTCGGTGCTGCACCTGGGGTTCCGGGTTTAGGGATGAGGGTTTAGGGTTCAGGGTTCAGGGTTAGGGTTTCCTCAACTCCGAGCAGGACTGTAGAGCCTTGCAGGCAGGTGCATTCCTTCTGCATCGCAGGTTCTGTAGCCTGCAAAATGCTGCGATCAATGGCACCTTGCGTCTGCGCACAACATGCAGAAAGCACTTCGCCTACGATCAAGTAGGGGCTGTCCACGGGAACTTCGACTGCGTTGATGTCCTGACAGACGCTTGTCCGCGCAGAGTCCCTATCGCAGTGGAAGTTTCCGCACAACTCTCTGTTTGCATGCTGAGGGAAAGACAGCGAACCAGCATTCTCCCCAGAAAGCCCTGTAGGAGAACTTGACGCACCCATCAACATATTGACAATGCTCTTGGCATAGCCTTGGATGTGCTACGAGTGGAAGAGGGCTCAGCAGAGTTTCGTGAAGAGCAACTTCTGCCAAGCAGCTTCAGACTGGTTGTGTTGATGTTCTTGTTCGGAATATACCGGTCAAATTTAAAACCTCAATCGGCATCCGCTTGACAGACTGCTCTACACTGCTTCAAGTGTTGACATGCAGGGCTAGAGTTCTCCGATACCACCAGGACCTGGCCTCTGACAAAGCAGCCCAGCGGGCTGCCTTGCATGAAGGCCACATCCTCGTTGGTCTGGGCTTGCAGCAGGGGCGCCTGCGGTTCTGGCGGCCCTTTCTTTCTCTTAACCTGGCTGTCTGACAAGCGGCCTGCAGCCCGAGGCCCAGGAAAAGCAGCAGCCGCCGGGCCATGGGCTCCGGCCGGCGCCCCACGGCGCACCTCAGCTCCGCGTCTCGGCACCAGAACACCACAACTCCTCTCCCCTGGCCTCCAAACCAACGATCGTGTAATCCAGATGTTCCTAACCTGATACTTAGAGCTTGAGCCCGCGCGCACCGAAAGGTCTGTCGGTTCATCATGTTCATCCTTCTCCCTTGGTTTGCAGCAAATGCTCACCATCCTGTACGCATCTCAAAATTGTGTTGCTGCTATCAGCCCGTGCCAAGCTCTCAATCAGACCGTACGGAAAACAGCGAATGAACCCTTTCCCGAGGACCCCCTGTGCAAGAATGTATGACAAACGGACAGAACCACAAGCTGTTACCGTCTGTCACAAGCCCAAAGCCCCTGCTGCCCTGCTCCGCCTGCTTCGCCTTCACTCGAGCCGAGGCCCTTGGACCCCTGAGTCAGATCTGATTACCACAGGCTGCACCCGCTTCAGGAAGAAAACCCGACAAAGCTGCTGCGGGTGTGTCCCGGACCTCTTCGAGGAGGCAGGGCTCGGGCCCACCTCGCGTGCAACGCACCCTTTGATCCGCTGATGCATGAACCGAGCTTCGCTGCACCATTCTCGGCTCTGCTTTTTCGCCGGGAAACTTGGACATAATAGCTGTGGAAGTGAGTCTCCAAGCCCGTGCCCTACGCCCTACGATGGTTCACACAAACGGCTGCAATAACTGCCACGAACCCTCCGCTTGCACCACATCCACCCTTTCCTGAAACACGGAGGGCTTTGAAAAAGCAGCAGTCTGCTTCTCATGCTCCCACTACTTGTCTCTGACTGCATGCCTCCAGAATGGCAAGCTCCTCGAGGTCGGAAAGGTCGTAGGTGCCTTTGCAAATTGTCGGATCTGCGGTGCAGTGCTGGAGCAGCTCTGCCGCTCTAAGTGCTCCACCGTCCAGGACGCATGTCTTCGAACTCCCGGTGTACGTAGAAGATGGTGTGGCTGGTGTAGCAGGAAGGGTTGTCTCTGCATCGCAATCAACGTGCGCGATGCCAGGCTCCCCAAGTCCAAGTGTGTCGAGAGCCGTCTTCTTCAGCCCAGACTCACTCGCAGAAGCATTCTCGCAGATTACAACCTCAGCATCACAATCCTTGGTTCTTTGCTGGTCTTTGCTCACGGTGCAAACCTACAGTGCGAATTCGTGGGTACTTGGAAGAAGCCCAGTATAGCAAACGATCAGCTACCAGATGCTAGCCAGCATCCGCTTCTGCTCCTGTCTCTGGCATGAACTGCGACCTCAGCTCCACTGCAATCTTGACACCTAACACATCGTGTACAGACTAGGCCGCCAGCAAAACAAGTGCACGCTGTCCGCAATCTGGACAGATCTAGGTACTTCCTGTGATTCGAGCCGCAAAACCCAGTACCAGTGAAGCAAAGGATGCGCCAGTGTTAGCACACCACACTTTCCGACGCCGTGAATACAGCTGCATAGCCCTGTGGACATGTGCACTTCCAATTATCTGGAGCCCTGTACAGGGAAATCTTTGCATACTTAGCAAGAACGGAGGCTCGTCGCGTATGCGTAGTATGGGAAAGCTTTCTCACAACGTCTGTCTTCCAAGATGCCCATTTGTCTTGGTCGCTGCCTTGTACCCTGCCGCAGGACACGACTGCGAGGTGCAGAACAGGAGACAGTCGGGCACTAGACCTGGTGGCAAGCTGCTGGCCTGCAAACACCCCCTAAGGCGAGCTGAAGAGAATCCAATGACTCCCTGTCTCGGACTAGACGAGGAGCGGCCTTAGGCGCTGAGACCTCGTGCAAGGGGGCGGAGGTCGCATCTGATTTTCAGATGGCCCCAATGAAAACTCTCGCCTCCACGCCTACTGGACATGAAGGGTTGATGAGACTCTGATCGACATGCAGAGAAGTGGGAAAACTTAATTGGTTGGAACGCAGTTTTTTGCGAATCTCTTCCAGGCAAAGCGCTTGCCTGCAATGGACGCGTGTGGGCGATGGCCCAGATTCAAAGCACGTCTATGTACAATCACTTTTGCAGAGGTCCACTGGTTTTGTCCTGCGCACCGGCTTCAGCTTTTCTGAAGGGGAGAGGGCCCGATGCCACCTGCCTTGATCGATGCAAAGTCGAGGTCCAGCAGCTTCCTCAGCAACACCAGGAAGTTGGGGAAGTCTGCCTGGAAAGACGGACTTGTTCAAGCCACGGCTGCAACAAGGCTGCAATCGGTTGCGCCCTCCCAGCCTCTGGCTGCTTGCAGACCTACACGCATTCACAATATATATATTTCTCACCTCCTGAGGCGACCGAGGCGAGCAGGCCTCGGCGAAGATCTCCTCCAGCTGCTTCGTGCGGGTGTCGTTCAAGGGCGTGATCCCATGAATCATGGCCCGGAACTGACGCAAAAAAACAGAGCACCCAGGGGAGTTCACGAGAGTTGGTGACGCTGAAATCCACAGGCACCTCATCAAAGCCCAGGTCTTGCGAGTCGCCAAGGGAATTCAGGAAGAGTTCCCGAGACCTCGGTCCGACGCCCGGAACTGCCCCCTTGTATCGTCACAGCAGAGACTGGATACTGTAGAGCTGGGAATCAGACTCAGCTACCTCCTGGTTGGTGAAGCCCGTCTCCTCGCACGTCTAGCATCAAAACCAACGGAGGCCGCCGCGAACCATGAGAGTCTGGATTTAAACAAACGGGAACAGGAACAGCAAAAATCATTGGCGCTCAGACTGCGAAGGCGGAACAAGTGGGTGTCATTCGTCATACATCAGGACTGGCGCTCAGTCCACCAACCCCAGCAAACAGCAAGTCTCGTGCGGTAAGATGCTGCGCCGTTCGGCAAGCAGGTTCAGAACCTTCAGCACCGGTCCGTCGTGGTCCGATCGCCGCTGATTAAGCAGTGTGGCGCATGCGGGAGAAAAGCTGAAAGGTATCGAGACGAAGTCAGGCAGCGACATAGATAGCTCTGACGCGACAAATGCCCCACGACCAGCCGCAAGCCGATGAACCGAAGCGCCATCAGCTCCCATGAGGCTTGCCCTGTTGTCCATACAACTTCTGCCCTCGGGGTTTCCAAAGCCACTAGTGCAAACCCCCAGCCACAGATACACCCCACCCAACCAGAAGCTTTGCGCCGCCTAGACAAGAGGAAAGTCGAGACCCGGGAATGGGCCTGGATGGCCTGCTGCTCCTTCCTCAGCCGCTCTTTGTCCTCAAGGCACTGCGGCTTAGAGCTTGCTTCACACCTTGAGGCAAGGGGGAGCCACGGGCCTTGAAGGCGCTGAAGAGGCCTAGGAGCTTCAAGAAGGCGGCGAAATCCAAGCCTCGTTCCGGGACTGCTAGCGAAAGCTCCACATTTCATGAACACTTCTCTGCCCCCGGCTGCCGGTGGCTTCCTGGTCCGCCTCCCAAATCATGAGAACGCCTACCCTCTTGCAGCAATTTTCCTTTGCCACGGTGAAACCCCGCAGCTCTTGACCAGCATGAGCTGCCGGACCTCTCGCAGCAGAGCCAGGAGCTGTGGCCGCTTAGACCTTCGGAATCGAAAGCAAACGAAAGTGAGTGTAGGTCAGAGTGTACATACCATAAGGACATAGCTATGGATATAGCAGTAGCAAAAAACATAGATATTGCTATAGATATAGACACAGATACGGATATAGGTACAGATATAGATGAGGATACGGATACAGATACTGATATAAATCCAGATTTAGCTATAGGTATACGTATACATACGTTCATGAAGACAAACATAGAGAGGATTGCAAATGTACGTATGCACACACACACACACGTACACACATGCAGACATACATGTTTGTGTTTCTGTCACATGTTCGTTCTCGTCCCTTGTGTTGTCTCAATATAGCTCGTTCTTTTACATATATGCAGACACACACACACACGTACATATGTCTATGAACATATATATATATAGATAACCACACGCATGTGCATGTGTGTATATATATATGTATACAGGTATACGCACATATATTTAGCTGATTATGAACATAAATGTAGAGACTTGCAGAGAGACATGTACATATACATACATACATACATACATACATACATACATACATACATACATACATACATAAATGCATACATACATACATACATACCTACTTACCTATCTACCTACCTACCTACCTACCTAGCTACGTACGCACGTACGCACGTACATATATATATATGTATATATTTATATATACATGGACAATGGATCCACGAATTTATAAACATATAGGTATCTACGTATGTAGATACGTGTATCTACGTTTGGATATAGATACAAGCACCTACTAGACACATAACAAACAGAGGTATGGGTATAGATGTAAATGTAAATAGAGACTGCTCTTACAAACTTAGGCATATGCAGAAACACACACACACACACAGACGACATATTATGTGTTATGGCGCGCATTTCTTCTTGAAGCCGGAGCCTTTCTTTGGCGAGCTCTGGCACCACATCCTCAACGAGTTGAATTAACCTCGGCGACTCCGTCTGTGACAAAAAGCAAAGTCCAAGTGCGGTGGACTTGCACCGGCATGACCTTTCAGGACCTGGCTCGTTTTTTGTGACTCGCCCTGAGCCATCCAGATCATAGCGCTTGAAAAAGGAGCGCAGCTCCTGCACCTGCTCCAAAACGCAGCCTAACTTCAGCAACTCAAACTTCAAGATCAAGCGACTCGGGGCTACTTCCTTGCTGCGTGCTCCGATCTGCAAGCCTCCGGGTCCGTCCAACCACCGTTTCTCTTGATGGCCTGCAGGGGTTGGGAAACGCGCAACGTGATGCACATAAAGCATCGTGATTGGATCTGTCATTTCCCTTCAGAATGCATATGTCAGAATATGTCAGCTTGCATTATGACGGACCACCTCGCGAGTCGCACGACAATGTTTCTGACATGCACCTGGCCGGCACCAAAAAAGAAGCTGAACATCTGCACAACACCACAAACTTGACTGAACAAGAAGCCGGCGAAACGCAAGAAGCCGTCCCGGGGCACCTGATCATGCACTTCTGACCATATCCTACGTGACCACATTTTTATGCACATCTACATTCAAGCTTTCGCAAAGGTAAAGGAAGAATGTTTTCTTCATCTTGTGTTTCTTTTGTGTTTATTTTTTGGTCCGTTTTCTTGGCTATTCCTAAAGAAACACTTTCTCCGCGACGCTTTGGACGGATGTCGTGCCATTTCCCTCGGTTTTCCTAAAGGAAAACGTACGTTACCTTGGTTTTTCGTACGGAAAGCACTATTTCCTGACGTTTTGGACGGATTTCGTGTCATTTCCCTGGGTCTTGGGTCGTTGTTGTTGTTGTATTCTCTGAAGAATTCGGGGTCTAAGGATATGCACAAGCCTGGGAAACACACACACACACACCCCTCCAAGCCAAAAGATCAAGATTTGGCATGTGCGCGATGTTGTAGTAGTAGTAGTAGTAGTAGAAGTAGTAGTAGTAGTAGTAGTAGTAGGTAATAGTACTAGCACTTTCACTTCACTTCAAGCGCAGC